TTAAGTTTTACCATGGTGCCACTTTCATTTTTACATAAGCATGGTGGCAAAATTCAAGCTCAATAAATCAGAAATCTTAATATTTAAAATTTACTTTGACTTTCATTTATCACCATATTAACAACCAAAAGAATTAGATAAAACATATAGGAAAGGGTAATATTAAATCCACCTTGCTGAGTTGATTTATTGACACATTAACTCATTTTTATATAGAAAACTGCAAACAGAATATAGCACTTACAACAGGTTATAAATAAACTGGTTTTCAAGCATAGAGCCAACCCCAACGATGATACACTATTTAAAAGTACTTAAGGCAATGAATTCCATTTCCAATGGAAAAAAACAACTGTGCAAACAAGCTTAAAACTACTTTCTTTGGTGCCAGTTTTATAAAATGTAGCTTTTCATAAAACCTTGACCCAAATGCCATTAACTTCAGAAAAAAATTTGTTGGAGAGAAGAAAATTATTTCATTTAGGAAAAGTAACCACTATCTTTTTTTCCTAATCTTCAACACACACAATTTAAACATATACAGTTGCTTTAACACTTTACACACTTGTACTATGTACTGGAGCAATAACAAGGTCTAAATACAATTATATTCTTAAACACTGGGTCAAGGCTTTACATAAAAATACCATCCTACTTCCCCCCCCTAAGTTTCTAAAGTATCACATACTTTCCTCAACATCTGCAGCCATCCAGGAATTTTTAGTGCATGATCTTAATTCCTAATCCCTGGCTCTTAGGGCTCAGTGACGAAAGATCAAACACCAAAAATGATGGTTCACTTGAAGTCAGACGAGAGACCCTGGCTCAGTTAGTCTCATAGGATGAGAGCAGTGCTGCATCAACTGGCTCCATGCAGGAGGGGCACGTGAAGGATCTCATCAACCAGTCATCTATACAGTCCAGGTGATAGATGTGCATGCACGGCAGAAATCGAATTGGGTCCCCATAAACAAAGTCCATCAAACAGATCACACACTCCCGGATTTTTTCGGATCCATCTCTTCCAGGGTCATAAACTCCTTTAGGCAGATGCTCTTTAAGGCCTATTCTCTGAGCTATCCTAATTTGTTCTTCTTCAGTCAACTGAGTTGCTAGCCGAGTCTGGCTAGGTGTTGGATGATAAACTGGAACAGGAACTTGTTCCTGCTGATGCAGCTCCATCCCCTCATCAAAGCTAGCCCGGTGGGACTGAGACTCCTGAAGCAGGGAGATGTCACCCGAGGTGGGGGATTTGAGGCAGTTCCCCATCTTGCAGGGCTGGGGCGTGTGATTTCTGCACCGTTCGGATGGTCTTCTCAATACTGGAGATTTCTAAAAAATATTTTACATATACCTGTCAGTTTCTTCTAAACACCCAGTAGGATGAAGCTAGAAATCCATAATTAAAAAGGGAAGTGAAAATTCACAAATTTATGGAAAGCAAAAAAAAAATTTAAAATAATATTCTGATCAAGAAAAAGAGCACGTGAGATAGAAGAAAATACATAGATAACTAATAACATGGGAACACACTAGACCAAAATTTATGGGATGAAGCAGAAACAGTGAGCAGGAAGGTGTATTAGTCAGGGTTCTGGAGAGGAACAGAATCAACAGAAAATGATTATAAACAGGGGATTGGTTAGATTGACTTACTTGACCAGAAGTTGGATAGTCCCCAGTGGCTGTCTGCAGGCTGTAGAGCTGGAGGAACCAGTAGCTGCACAAGTGGCTGAAGCCCCTTAAACAAGAGAGATCAGCAGAGCTCACGTAGTCTGACAGAAGGCTTCTGAAACTCCCTGGACAATCCCTGGCAGAGTCCACTTTGGAGAAGTTAAGAAGCAACAGTCAGATATCCTCAAGTGATGGTAGAAGCAATCAAGAACCTGTTCTAGGAGAATCAAGCTTGCATCTGCTGCTGCTTCCTTGTCCTCCCACCTTTTATTCCATCCAAGCCTCCATCCTATTGGATGCTGCTGACCCACTTTAGGGAGGGTCTCCACTTCAGTTGTTATCCCACATACCAGTCACTCCTAGACACACCCTTTTTGATACACCCAAAAGGCCTTAATCATTGGCATGCCTTAATCCTATCAATTTGAGTGAATGCTAACATTCACAGAGAGGATCAAGACTGAATCTATAGGAACACCAGAACAATTATACAACGCTGGTTGGGATTAAATCAGTCATCAAACACAAAGTGAGAGTGGGGATGTAGCTCATTGGTACAGAGCACTTGCAGGAGGCCCTCCCTGGGTTCAGTGTCCACCACTGCAGGGTAAAAAATTTCCCAATAAGTGAAAACTTCTGGACATAATGGCTTCATCAGTGAATTCTATGAAAGATTTAGAGAAGCAGTTAGAGGAACATTGCCAATTACTCTCAGTCTCATTCAACAAATGAAGAGCAAGGGGAACAGAATTCTAGAACTCTACTCCTAGTTCTGCCTGTGATTATTTGCAAGTGAGTTCATAGAGAAGTGTCAGTGTGTGCATTCAAGGAATATTGCGATTGTACCAATATTTCATATTTCTGTCAATAATGTATTTTGCAATTGATGGTGAAAACATTGAATATAAAACAAAGTATTAAATTCGAGACTGCCCTTCATTTCTGGTTATTCCTGATTACATTTTCCCTATCAACTCTAAAAAAATAAAAATACAAATAAAAAGGAAAGCAGAAAATTGAAATACATCCTTAAGGGTGCATCAACATCTCTAACACAGATCTGGATTAGCAGTTTCACTGCTAATACACTTTGCTTACCATGTTTTGCCTTTCTGGGAAAACTCTTATTGAATCTGACAAAGTAAAGTATCTGTCTGTGGTCTATCAAAGGTTTAAAAGTAAGACTTCTGGAATTCACTCTAGGAAATGGAGCAAAGGGTCCAAAAGTTCAGAGAACTCTGGGATTAATCTGTGTGGATGTTTGTCCCCAGAACAATTACAGAAGTGAAATGAGTTTAAGAATACTTGTAATTAACACTGACCATACATGTATACCTAGGAGGATTAGCAGGCAAGTGAGAAACTGTCCAAAGGGGGCCCAAACCAGTTCAATGTCCATCAAAGAAACCCAGGCAGGACCCATATTGGCAGCCAGGAAACCACCCTTCCTTTCTATATCTCCAAAACAAACACAATTTAAAAACTTTTTTTTGATAATTTTATTATACAGGGAACAGAAATTTCCATGAGAATCCAAGAAAGCATAAATTTCTACATGAGTACTAAATTGAGAAACTTTTAAAAATATATACATTGTTTTTTTTTTTTAGTTGTACTTAGACAGAATACCTTTATTGTATCAATTCATATATGGTGCTAAGGATCTAACCCAGGGCCCCTGAGTATGCCAGAGGGGTGCTCTACTGCTCAGCCACAACCCCAACCGTGAGAAATATTTTTGTAATACCATTTCTTCCCAGAGGATCTTCCATTGCAGTGTGTTGGCAGAGACCTCATGGCTCTCAACCTAAAGGTGGGCAGTGAGCAGTCCAGAGCCCCCATTATTCTAAACCTCAGGCAGCATCCTGCAGACCTGGGGTTGTATCTCTTGGCACTCACAGAGGGAGACTCTAGAAAGACTATGGGCAATCTTGGGATTTCTTGGTCTATGAGGGCAGGCTGGACACTGGTCAGCTGGGTTTCTCACAGATATCACCCTCTCCTAGGAGAACTTGGGTCTAGTGCTGGGTCTCACACATTTGTCCTGGACAGGCAGCTGTGTGCCCCTTCTCAAGGAGCTGTGCGATCTGGGTCCATGAAAGGGTCAGGGCCAGCTGAGACACCCACAATGTGTAAAAGGTATTACACAGTTGAAGTCCTGGGGATCCCAAGAAAGGAAGCCCAGCCTGAGATAGAAAAGCAGAGGCCAGGGCCCAGAATCTGCTTCCTTTAGGGCTTGGCAGTGCCTGGGCCCTGGAGCCTCATCTCCACAACCTCAGGCCTCCCAAATAGGAGGGAAAAAGTTTGTCCACAGCTGCAGCCTCTCAGAGGAGGAAAAGTCTTCAGGGACCACTTGCCTGATCATTTCTACTCTTCTGGGCTCCTCTTGATTGGGACCATAGGATGTAAAGTTGAGTGGAGATAGGATCTCAGGGGTGTGGAATATTCCTTCAGAAGGCAGGATCTCCTAATCCTAAAGGCAGATCCAATCATCTGGGATGACAGAGTTCATTTGAATAGATTTTGTTGATTGATAGGTTTAAAACATTTTTTTAAAATTCCAGGATCCCCAGTGCTGATGGTGATTGCCAAGCCTGACTACCCTGGTCTCCAAGGAGAGAAAGAGAGGGTAGAGGATGAGAGAAAGTATGAATGAGTTAGCCTGGGAATGTTGTAGGGACAGACAAGCAGGGCACTAAGGATAGCAGGAAACAGTTCTATTTGGCTGTAGCCAGGTACAGAGGGTACAAATTTCACTGTAATCAGTTAACTCCCTGAACCCTGAGTTCAGGTAGTTCAGAACTTTATACCCAGTGTGAAAGGGGAGGGGCTCAGAAGTTCACAGTCTGCAGAAGTTCACATAAAAGCAGCTTTTTCTTTCACTGTTTTGGGCAACATATTCCTTCAAAGACAAGGCATGAGGTGGGGGATGATTCTGTGGTGACATAGCCACAGTGGGAGGCAAAGGCTAAGGTTAGAGGTCAGGGGTCATAGGCTGCTCAACAACTTCACCCACAGCTCTAGCCCCAATCACATTTCCAGCCCCAGGCTCCCTGCTGGCCCCCTCCCTGCCTCCAGAGCTTGGCTTTTGGGGGTAGCAACCCATAGCTGAGAAGAGTAGGTCCATGGCCCAGTTCACTACTATCTGAAGTCTAGAAATAGAGTGGTTTATTTTTTTTGAATATATTTTAGTTACACATGGAAACGAAATATTTATTTTGTTTATTCATTTATATGTGGTGCTGAGGGTCCAATCCAGTGCCTCACATGTGAGGGACAGGCACTCTGTCACTAAGCCACAACCCCAGCCCAAGAAATAGAGTGGTTTAAATAATGGAAAGGCAGAGAGATTATTTTTACATTTCACAAATGTCACCATAGGTTATGTGAAATCAGTATAGATGGTTTGTATAACAAATAAGCTCCTCTCTCCTTTAATACAGAAAAAGTAAAGTGTAATCTATCTTTAGGGAAGAATGTAGTACAAAAACATGTACACTTGTAAAAGGAGTTAAACAAAAAGTTATTTGCTGACAAAAATAACAAATTTAGTTCATCAGGAGAGAATAGGGGTTTCCCTGGACAGAAACAAGGTCAGCTTTAGTGATGGGGCAATTATTCTCTGGGATCCTAACTTCAGATCATTCCCATTTTTAAGACTTTGCTTTCCCCTGTTGGGGTAAGATGGGCTTGCCTATGGTTCTCATGACTTCTAAACTTTTAATTTTTGTACCAGCATTGAACTCAGGAGAGATTAACCATTGAGCCAAAATCTAGCCTATTTATTTCTTCATTTATTTATACTGGGAATTGAACCTGGGTGCTTAACCACTGAGCTCCATCACAAACCATTTTAGTTTTTATTTTGAGACAGGTACTCACTAAGTTATTAAAGATATAGCTAAATTGCTGAGGCTGGCTTTGAACTCACCATCCTCCTGCCTCAGCCTCCTGAGTGACTGAAATTACAGGCATGTGGCACCGCCACCATGTCCAGCTCTTTCTTTTTTTGAGACAAGATCTTGTTAAGTTGTTTAGGAACTCACTAAGTTACTGAGGCTTGTCTTGAACTTGCCATCCATCATCCATCTTCCTCATCATCACAAGTCCCTGGGATTACAGATGTGGGCCACCTCGCCTAGCTGTGTGTTTTTTTTTATTTTTTTTTTTAGTTATAGTTGGACACAATACCTTCATTTTATTCAAGTATTTTTTGTTTTGTTTTGCTGAAGACAGAACCCATTGCCTCACACGTGCTAGGCAAGGGCTCCACCACTGAGCCACAACCCAAACCCTTAGCCCAGACATTATTGCTCAACTTTTTGCTTTTAAGAACTAGGATAGAAAGAAGTCAGGCTCTCTGAGGGGTATAATCATTGGTGTTCCTACCTCTAGACACTAGAAGTGATAACTGTGGGTCCACCTCCCTTTAAAGCATA